CACGTTCAAGTGACCGGTGCCGGTTACGTTCACGGGTCCAGCACTGCTGCTGACATGGCGTTGGTGGGACCGTATATGGAGTAAAATGATGCCAGATGTGTCCTGGGCATGGACCGCATGGTCGAGGCGAACGACACTGACGGGACACTGCCCGGCGATCGCTAACCTGTCCAACTTTACGGAAAACTGGTACAGATTAGGGATACGATCGGTCGTCTGGGTCCTTTGGTGGCAGCGTTCCCACCTCAACCTAGAGGGGGTTAGAGTGGAAGGTACAGAACTCAAAGGGCAGATCAAAGAACAGATCCAGTTGCAATTGTTGAACAGATGACGCCACTGACGTGAACTCAAAGCCCAGTTGGACATTTTTCAGACTGTACAGGATATCAAGCGAGCTTCCGTAAGGACTGGCTTTGGGGGGAGCGTGGGGGGTGGGTTGCTCAAGTGCATTGGTGGGGAGATCAGGCAAATTTGTCAGGACGGGGTGGATCAGGCTAATTTGTCAGGACAGGGGGGAGATCAGGCTAATTTGTGAGGACAGGGGCCCCCCAGGGAATATGGCCATTTGTCTTCAATGACTGGATTAACATCGAGTTGTCCTTCCCAATGAGATCCTCGTCTGATTTCCCGGACCCCTGGAGGTTCTTGAATGATCACATTTGCTGCTCATCGGACGAAGATCTACCCCCGGTGTCTCCCGGGCCCTGGGGGTTGGAAGGGTCCGAACAAGGCTACTGACAGGGTGGGTAGAGGTAGTTGGGGGACGGAGGAACTAGTTTCTCAGCAGCAGGTATCTGGCGCCTGGTACACAGCAAAGAGCTTTTCTCCTTTTCCTCAACAACCTGCACAGTGCACAGTTCCTCCTCTGGATGCCAGAGTAATCAATGCTGGCAGGCGTTTTCTTAGTCAACAACCTGCACTGTTCATCTACTGGACGCCAGAGTAATCAATGCCGGCAGGCGTTTTCTCAGTCGCTTTCCTGATATCTCCCTGTTTCAGTCTGTATATCCAACGCTGCACTGGTTTTCCAGCTGCAGGTGATGCTCCCCACCAATAGATGGAGCCTCTCCCCGGGTGCTAGTGGTGCCTGCTTCTGGGCCTCGCCACGCCACTCTTGAAAAACTTATTTTCAAGGGTTTGGCTGCCGCCACACAGCCTCTTGAAACCTCGAACCAAAAAAAAAACAAGAGCTGTCAGAATTCATCTCCAAGAGGGAACTTGTAACTACGACTCTTTGTTTCCTAGCCGACAAGGCTGCAACCCTCGCTCAGCTGCAACCCTCGCGCAGCTGTTCAAGCGTCCTTGCCCGAACCCCTTCCGATCTCACAGTTGTTGTTTTTTTTCTTTTTTTTTTTCTTTTTTCTTTTTTCCGGCCTGACTGTTTTCTGTCACGGGAAGAAAAAGAAAAAAAAAACAGGGGTGTCATGTCATTGCCTTCGTGCAAAGTCGTGAAAATAATTAATTGATATAGGCCCTCGCAGCATCACAGCTATGGCGGATGTATCTGTTTTGTGCATTTGACGATATACAGCGGTTTTGGGTTGTATAATAAAAAAAAGGGTTAATTTCAAAAATATTGCCTTTTGGAAGTTTGGCAGCAAAAATGTCATCCGTTTGAAGTTTCCTTTGCAAAAATAGAGACGTTTCTTTGCAGCTTTATCGGGTTCCCGTAGTTTGCCAGCAAAAATGCCGCGTGTCGCCGAGTTTCACAGGAAAGGACCACTAGGCCCCTGGCCTCAGGGACTCATGGACTCACAGTTCCGGCCTCAGGCACTCAGCGGGCGTGGCTGAGGCATTTCGGTCGTGGCCACGCCGAGATGCCTCCGCCACGTTTCCTCGTTTTTTTTTTTGTTTTTTGTTTTTTTTTCCGTGGCCGTGGCTGAGGCATCTCGGCCGTGGGCACGCCCAGATGCGTCGGCCATGCCCGAGGGAAAAAAAAAAGCGCTTAGTGCCTCAGGCCAGAACGCTGAGTCCCTGAGTCCCTGAGGCCAGAGGCCTAGAGGTCCTTTGCTGTGAAACTGGGCAAAACGCGGTATTTTTGCTGGCAAACTATGGACGGACGGCATTTTTGTTGCCAAACTTCGAAACAGCAATATTTTTGCTATTAACCCTAAAAAGAACAGGTAAAATGTATAAAAAAAAAAAGAATCAAAATTACAGGTACGTTTGCTAGGATTCATTTTGAAAAACTGGTATAATATTATGTACAATTTCCCCATCTAAGGCTTGGATCCCACTGCCCGGCGGCGTGGAAAAACTTTGGCCACAAAAATCGGCCGACCGTGTTTGGAAAGAAGTTTCCGCGTTTTGTTGGGACCCCACCGCAGCCCTGGACTTTCGGGACTGGAAACTCTTTTCCATGCCCGATTAGGAAATACGGCCAGGGTGTTTCCCGAAAATGCAAGCAGGCCCGGGGATGTGGTTTAGGCCGTTCTTGCCTTCATCTCGTTCCACGATACACCCTCTCTTTGTCTGATCCGTTCTTGCCTTCATCTCGTTCCACGATACACCCTCTCTTTGTCTGATCCGTTCTTGCCTTCATCTCGTTCCCCGGGCTGTCCTCTATCACATCCTTCGTCTCTCTTGTCCTCCTGTGCATCGCCGACAATGAAGGATCTAATGGCAAGGGCACGAGGACTACATCTCCTGCAGCGCAGTTCAACGAGTTTAAGCAGCTGGTTGGCCACCATGCTGTCCCATTGGCCGACACCTGGAATCACAGACTTCTGGAGCAGCACTCTTGACATGGACATCAGGATCAGTCTGCGACCTGCTATCCGGATCAGACTCCATCAACAGGATCCTGTACCGGATGCACCCTGGCACTTGGACCTCCATCTATTCCCGCGTTCCGCAGAGGTGGTGTGCAAGGGCCGACGCTGTGTGCAAAACAGTGACATTGTGGCCATGTCTCCATCGGATGTGCCTACTGCGGATGAGGAGTGGGAGGACATGATGTTCATGCTCGTTCTCCTCATGACCCAGTGGGTGAATAGGCGCAACGCTGCGGCCATGGCCATTCTTGAAGCAGTCGCCATCACCCCGTTCATGTTCCGGGATGTGTCGGGGGCGCTGACGATGCTGGCAGGGGGGGTGGTTCACGGCATGGCCTTGAGCTTCTTCACAACACAGGAGTTGGGAAGACACATGAACTGTCGGAGAAGGCGGGTGTGGATGCTGGAGCGCAGCGGAGGTCTGTGGAAGGACCTGCAAAGGGTGGGTGCGGAGCACGACAAGGTGTTCGTGCGGTTCTGCAGATTACAAAGACCTCTGTTTTTGCAAGTTCTTCAGCGCATCACCCCCCATATCCAGTGCTCACCTACCAACTTCCGGTTGCCTCTACCGGCCGGACAGAAGTTCGCTTGCGCACTGATCCGATGGGCAACGGGCGGGTGCTACCGGCAATCGTCCCACAGTTTGGGTATGGGCCTTGCCAGTGCGCTGAGAAACAACGAGGACGTTGCAGATGCTATCCTCCATGAGTACGGACACCTGCTCCAACTCCCCACAGGAAGGCGTTTGGAAGAGGTCCGGAACGCTTTCGAGGCGAAGGGGTTTCCCGGATGTGTGGGGGCCATCGACTTCACACACGTGTACATTGACAAGCCGAAGGGCACGCGGTCAGAGTGCTACTATCATCACACTGGAGACTTCTCTGTCATCGCCCAGGTGGTGTGTGATAGCGAGTGCAGAATTGTCAGCGTGTATGTCAGTTGCCCTGGTTCCGTGCACGACTCTCGTGTGTTGCGTATGTCACCGCTGTACCACAACACCATGGCAGGCAGAGGTGTGTTATGCGAAGGTGGAGCTATCCTGCACGACGGGACACACGTGGGTCGTTACCTGCTTGGAGATGCCGGTTACCCCATTCTCCCATGAATCATGACACCTTTGGGAAGATTCGCCAGAACTGATGCAGATCGCACTTACGACGGATGTCACTCGGCGGTGAGATCCTGTGTAAAGCGGACATTCGGACTTTTGAAGACCGTGTGGAGGAATTTCATCCGCACTCACATCGCGAATTTGGAGACGCTGCGCAAGGAATTCATGGCTGTGTGCATACTACACAACCTCATGATTGAGCACAGGGTGGAGATCGACCCGGAG